CCCTTTAGATCGGGCGGCGACTAACGCCACCTAGCCATAATATACTAGGTTTATCTTTTTTTTTCTTTCAAATAGTAAAGTTGAGGACTGGTACTTAGCAGTGAAGGGTTTAATTTTCACTCGTGCCTTGACTTTAGCCACCAATCAGACAACCTTCTTCTGGTTAATTGCACCCGCTTAAAGTCTATTTTGCCCTCCCTGTCCCTAAACCCCAGTGCTTTGAAAAACTCAGCCTTTTACAGTACATTATCAAGTATTCGGCAGTTTCCTCCTCCTCTCCACATGCACTGCATACCATGTCTACCCCTTCGTATTTGGCCTGATATGTCTGGGTTCGCAATACTCCCGTCCTGGCCTCAAACAGTAGATAACTACCCTGGGTATTATCATAGACCCTTTCCTTGGCAGTTTCCCGCTTAAATGTTCAATATATCTCTAGTGCGGACTTGTTAATCATGCCAATTCTCCACATGTTAGTCTCCGTTTCCTTCACTTTCTTCTTAACCAACAGTTCTTTTTGGTTTGGCCACCTGCTGTTTTCTAAGTATTCACCAGTCAATTTCCTGGTTCGCTTCCTCCATTTTGTATCGACATTCTTCATGTACAAGTAGCTGAAAAACTTCCTAGCCCAACGCTCCTCCCCCATTTCTCTCAATCGATTCTCAAATTTTATCTTGCTGCTAGCTTCCCTGCCCTCAAATGATGTCCATCCCATATCACCTTGTACTCCCTGATTTGGTGTATTCCCGTGAGCTCCTAAAGCAAACATACCTATTCCACGTTGCTTAATTTCTAATCTTGCTTGAACTTCTGATCTCATGCACAAAACCGCATTGACATACGTCAGACCAGGAACCATGACCCCCTTCCATATTCCTCTCAGAACATCTTACCTATTGTAATTCCACAGTGCCCTATTTTTCATGACTGCTGCATTCCTGTTACCTTTAGTCGTCACGTATATTTCGTGTTTCCTTAGGTACTCGGTCCCATTGCTTATCCATACGCCCAGATATTTGTATTTATCTGTTATCCCTAGCGTGACCTCCTGTATTCTAAACTCACTACCTTCATTAGGCGGTGCTGCCAGCCCATGCTACGGCAGCGCCGCCTTGGAAACCGGTTTTTGTCCACGTGCGCCGCTTCACGCGATGCATGGCGAGAGAGGGTGCCTGAAAAGACTGCCCCATGTTCTAGTAGAGGCTTCAGACCACACGCGAGCCAAATATTATAGCACAGTACGCGACGTGGAATTCACAATATATTATCAAAGTCAGCTAAATATTGCTTTCTCTCGACAAATGGCGGAGTATGCCTCAAACTCACACGAGAATTACCCATCTATCAGCCATTGGCTGATTTGAACATGGCACGCTCGCTCGTTACAGAGATCGCCGCGGGAGGCCGCGACTTGTCCACGCGTGCGCTCGTGATAACACAAAAAAAAGTGGCGCATTCGAAGAAAAAAAAATGTGCTCAAGGCCACGAGGCACGTGTGACGTTTGTCTGTGGCCCTACTATCTCTCACTGCTTAGCTTCCAGCGCTTACGTCGGGACGAGAGAAGAGAGAATGCCATTGCAGCATGCGACAAACCTCTGTAACTCCACTCGCACTGGACGAATTCTTAAAATTTTTTCGGCATTGAATTCGTGAGGCAATAAGCTTTTCCAGTGAATACATTCCATGGTTACTTGAAAAAGCGTTCCAGGGCCCCTTTTAAGGAATAAACTTTTGCTGTCAATCATGCAGCTCTGTTGTATGTGTCCTTTGCCTGGTCTCTCATCTTTCGCGCTGTCCCTCTAATATGTCACACCAACATGCCCAAGCAACCACTTTTCCGACATTAATGACTTGTCACATATTCCTTGCCGTCGTCTGGCATGCTTTCTGTGTTCGAGACTGTATTGATAGTTACGGAAATGTACCTTTCCAGAGAGCGTGCGGAACGTCAAGCGGTGGTTTTTTTTTTTTGGAACTTCTAAGCCATTACTTCCGATCTACTTTTATACAGTGGGACGGTCAGCCATATTTGTAAAATGACGGAACATATAGAAGCTCTTGTATTTCCCCCGTCCTCGGTGATTTGTTCTTAGCTCAATCAGACAGATGACTCTGTGTCCACCTTGCAGATTTTAATGCACCCACCAAAGTGTTAGATACTTCAACAATTTCATAATTTTTCTTGAATCTGACTCCATTAGATCGCTAGCCAATAAAATAACTTGCTCACCCTTGTACGTCAAGAAACTTATAAAAAATGCCATCAAACGACAGCACTAGATTTCCTGATATCAGACATTTATTAAGTAACAAGCAGAAGTATGAACCTCTTGCTAACACACCATAGCACTCCACCCATTCAAAACTATAGTTAAGAGGTGCATCGTCAAGTTTTTCTAATGCATTGCATAAGTAATGCCCAGAACTATTACTGGGTGCCAGTTGTCACGAGCGAACCCTCCGGTTATCCTACTCAGATGGGTGGCATTCAAAATGCCGAAAATCAAACGGACAAACTATCGGAATGCCAAAATTTAAAACACCGAAAATATAAACAGCCGAAAACTTAAAATGCGGAAAAATAGAAACACCGAAGCATCAAAAGGCCGAAACATCAAAATGCCGACATCACCCAGATATAATGGAAGATAATATATCCTACCAAAATAAAAGTTCCGCCGG